AAATTACTAAAGGTATAAATATTTAAAAACACATAGTTGCACAAAAATACTCATGATTGCAATACCAAAGTGTTTATGAAGAGCATTCCAAGTCGAGAGCAGCGGCATACAAGCAATGTTAACGGGCGTGATTTGTGCAAGAATATGTGAGGATGAAGCCAGCTTAAAAGCTTACGACTTTGACTTTTGGAAGATGATAGTCAATTTTAGAGAAAGGGAAGATAAGGATAAACTCAGAAAGCCAATGGTGGTGGTGGAATTCCCTGATCCATATGGTCGTTGGTGCTCATTATGATCGATGTTATGGCAATAACTGCGGGATAGTTTGAAACGCTCAAGGCCTCACCATATTTGTATTTTTTGCAGTCTGAACTTTGAACTCTGAACTCTGAACTAATCTCATAAAATATGTTAGATATTGGGTGCAATCATGGTGAATTATATTTTGGATATTACAGAACAGAAGCCTCGTCGAAACAGGTCACAACTAATTAACCTCAGTCACAGTAATGCGGTCAGTTGTCCTAAATAAAAAATCTTAATACAACATATATGACATCTTTAAACAAATTTCACATTTACAAAATACAAGCAAGATATTGAATATATAAGTTAACGTCTCTACGTATTAAAATTTTGAGATCCTATGGCTCGAAGCGAAGACTATCAACAGTAAACTGAGTCTTTATAATAACTTTGACCGAAAAGAGAGAAGGGTAATTAAAATTAGGTTGAAACTCCTTTTTGGTCCCTGAACTATTATACGGACCCCCGATTTGGTCCATAAACTAAAAAAATCTCTGATTTGGTCCATACTGTTTACCATTTTTACCTCGATTTGGTTCTTCCATTAAAAATCGTCCGTTAACTCACAGATATATCAAAAATTTAAATCACGTCAGTTGTACACCTGGATAAATGATGACATGGTCATACCCAACACAAAAACAAAAGTGGGGCCCACCAAATTACAATTTTGCATCATCTTCTTCCTCCAGCATCTATTTTCTCGAATCTTCCTTCATTCACACAATCAATTCAATTAAATAATCAATTCAATATCCTTTATTCACACAATCAATTCAATCAAACAATCAATTCAATATCGAACCCAACAATTCTTCATCTTAATCAAACAA